CTCGGGCCGGGAATCAAACCGCTGTTGCTCAGAGCTCAAACTCTTGAGCGAGCTCTTAACCAACTGAGCCACTCAGCCGGCCCCCAAGCCAGCTTTTAACCAATGCTCCACTCGGCCAGCCTGTCTTTATTCATTTTTGAATGATAGTTTTGTTGGATTTAGGACTCTTGGTTGACATTTTTTCAGTACTTTGAATACATCATATCACTGTCTTCTGGCCTCCAGCATATCTGCTGGTAAATCACCTTTTCATCTGATTGAGAGTCATTTGTACATAATGAGTTGTTTTTCTCTTGTTGCTTTCAATATTTTTTGTTTGGGGCATTTAACTGTATGTGTCTGTATGTAGATCTCTTTGGTTTGGTTTTATCTTATTTGGAGTTCATTGAGTTGCTTGAATATGTAGATTAAAGGGTTTCTTTCTTCATATTTGGGACATTTGGGGCCAATATACCTTCAAATATTTCTTTAATATCTCTTATTCTTTGTCTCTCTTTCGAACACTCCTATTATTTGTATGTTTGTGCACTTGCTGGTGTCCCATTGGCCTCTTTTATTGTGTTCATTTTTCATCTTCTTTTTGTTTCTGTTCCTCTAGATAATCTCAACTTACGTATCTCTGTACTCTCTGAGTCTTTCTTCTGCCAGTTCCAACCTGCTGTTGAGCCCTTCCGCTGAAATTCTTGTTTCAGTTATGGTACTTTTCAACTCTAGGATTTCTGTTTGATGCTTTTAAAATAACTTCTATCTATTTTATTGATGTTTTCTCTTTGCTGTGCTATTGCTCTTTTACTTTCCTTCAATTCTTTTTTTTTCTTTCCTTCATTTCTTTAGGCATGGTTTCCTTTAGTTCTTTGAGCATATTTATAACAGCTGATTTAAAGTCTTCCTAGTAAGTCCAACATCTGAGCTACCTTAGGGAAAGTGTCTATTGACTTCTTTTTTCCTGTATATGGGCGATACTTTCCTGTTTCATTTCACATTTTGTAATTTTTTGATGAAAACTGAGTGAATAATATCTCAACTCTGGAAATCAGATTACCTCCCTCCCCAAAAACATCCCCAGGTTTCGTTGTTGCTTTTTATTATTTTGTTGTTGATAATGTTTGTTTCTTTGTTTATGTAGTGACCTTCCTGGACTAATTTTTAAATGTCTGTATTCTTTGTTGTGTACAGCCACTGAAGTCTTCATTCAGTTAGCTTAGTGATCAGCTAATAACTGGACAGAGATGTCCTTAAATGCCTTAAATCCATAAGTCTTCCACACTTGCTAATTGTCTCTTGTGTGTGTGTTGGAGCTTGCCTTCGGTTCTCTAGAAGTTTTCATTACTGCCTTAGTCGCTACTTCCCGTTTACACGGAGCCTCAAAGCCAGCCAGAGGTGAGATCAGGCCTCTTAGGTCTTTCCTGGGAATGTGTAGAGCCCTGTACACATGTGTGGCCTTCTAGGTTTCCAGGACATATGTCAGAGCTTTTCAAAGACCCCTAAAGATATCTCATTCCCCAGATTTTTCTGTTAAGTGTTTCAGCCATTATTTTCCCCCAACTTATATGGCTGCTTAATGTAGCTGGGATGTTAAATTATTATGGCTGATTTTTTCTACAAATGCTGTAGTAATAAGATTGCTTTTCTCACCAGGTGAGCTCAAGTCAGGTCAAATAAGTCCTCTGAATGGGGCTTTCCTAGGTTGCTGCCAAACAGATCAAAAAGGAACAATTCTCTGGGGATGGTGCTTTTTCAGAAGCTCCAAAACCATTTTGTCCCTTCCAGTGACCACTAGGTTGCTGGTTTTCATTACTACCGTGATTCCACAGCTGCTTGTTTTCAAAGCTACTGTGGAGGCAGGGAGAGAGGGAGGGGATGGGGATTGAGCAGGTTCAAACACAACAGAGCTCACTGTTCCTACTAAGATTCAGCCATTTTTCTTGAATGACGCTTCTTGGATTGTTACAAGCCTTTGATTAACCAGACTTTGCACTGTTTCGTTGCTTTCTTGAGGAGCATGTTTCTGGAGGTCCTTATCCTGCCACTCCTGAAGTGTTTCTCCTGTCAGTGTGTTCTTAACATCCGAGAAAGCAGATTCTTAAAGTCAAATGCTCAGGGACCATGACGCAAAGAATGAGACCCATGGACTCAGTTGGTTACCAGTTCATCTGGATTCTAGCCTTCCCTGTGCTTTGGGCTTTAGGCTTTGGGCTGAGTGAGTGCAGAACTACCTCTGTTCTACCCAATTTGGATCTGCTCTTATCTGACCTGTGAGAGTGCCTAGAACTCACACTTAAGCAGCCCTGTAGGAGAAAAGTGACTCACAGAGAGAACCAGAATCTTAACACACAGGTCACCCATTCTCATGGTCTAGAAGTCAGGAGAGCCCTGTTGAGGAAGCATGTGCTACAGTGGCAGTGGTGGCGTCTCACTAGATTTTCCTCTTGTTTCAGGAATTCCTGCTAAAGATTTTCTGTGTGTTCCGAAACCTGATGAAGATGAGTGTTTTTCCTCGGGACTGGATGGTGATGAGACTTCTCACAAGCAAGTGAGTGTAGAAGGGCCCTGCACCAGCATCCACCAAGCTAAGGAGAATGTGTGTATGTGCAAGAGAGAAAACAAGACAGAGATCAAGGCCAAGGCCATGGGGACAGAGAGGAGAGGGTAAATGTTAAAAAAGTGTTTGGAGGCACAATCAGCAGGACTTGACCATTTACTGTAAGTTCAAGGAGAAGAAAAGGTCAAAGATAGTTAAAAAATGGAACCTAAGTGCCTGGCAGATGATGTCATGGTAAGATTGCAAAGGAGGTGAAATATAATAACCCAGAGAAGGGTTCCTCCTTGAGGAAGACCTGTTGAGTGGCCCATTGGCCTCTGTGGCTCTCTAGTTCTAGGCAGTATCCCAAGCCCTCCTCTTGATGTGATTTGTGTTGTCTGCCAGACACTGCTTGCCCCCCACAGCTAGTGCTAATTACCCACCTGAGACTTGGCTGTGAGGCTCTGACCACTTCTGAGTCTGGCCACAGAATTCATTCTAAGGCTGACTCCAAATTTCCTGCCCCATTCATATTTCTAGCCTGTGCTTCTAATTGGCAAACCAGACAAGTGATGCGGTAAGGTGCTGTAAGGTGCTGGTCTCCCTCCATTCAGAAGGCCACTTGGCTGCCATTCTCTAGCCCGCTGCCTCCTCCCACTGATCTGCCTCTTATGATGGCACTATGCAGGATGTAGTGAAATTATTTGTTAGATATGTTAGCAAGGTATCGCATGGTCTTTCTGCTTTGTACCGTTTATATAGGACTCTCTTTCTTTTTTCAAAACTAAACATTTTATATAGAACAGAAGAGTGGATATAAACAAAGTTGCACAGACACTCCCTCAAATACTGGATTTTCCATTTGCCTCCCTCTTGGTTCTATCTCTCAGCTCTTCTCAGAGCACTTAGGCTCCTCAGCACATCCTACAGGAGCAGCCTCTTTCAAGGCTTTTACCTTTCAAATTTGTCACCCCCTCTGCTGGTGGGCTAGTGTCTCTAATGCACTGTTTTTGCCTTGCCCCTCTTCTGCACCAAAGCCCAGCTGATCATTGTTAGATATACGAGGTGTGATCAAAAACTACAGTGAATGTTTAAATTTTTAAAAATGTATTACAGTAAAAGACACATTGCCATTAATCCCCCTCAAAATACGCCTGCCCCCCCACACTTTGAACATACTTATCCCATAGTTCTTACCACTTTCTGAAGCAGTTCTGGAAGTCCTCTTTCGTGAGTGCCTTTAGTTGTGCTGTCGTGGCTGCCTCGATGCCCTGAATCATTTTGACTTTGGGGAAGAGCTGGAAGTTACACGGTACCAGATCCAGTGAATAAGGTGGATGAGGACACGCCATAACGGTTTTTATTTGACAGGAATTGCCGTATACCAGAAGCAGTGTGTGACACAGAGTGCTGTCATGATGGAGGATGATTTACGGCACACTTTAAAACCTATCTTCTCTTAACCGTAGCTCACACCCTATTGAACTGAACAAGTTGAAACTTGTCACACACTGTTACTAAGGTTCGATGCACAGCTTCCCATAATGAAAGCCCTGCTTTTCCATTGGATGGCACTCGGCAGCAGCATTCCCATATTTTGTGATCACAACGGAAAGGTTCCGTGTCACACATCACTTCTGGTTTGCTGCAATTTCTGTCAAATAAAAACATTACAGTGTGTCCTCATCCACCTTATTCACTGGACCTGGCACCCTGCAACTTCTGGCTCTTCCCCAAAGTCAAAATGATTCAGGACATCGAGGCAGCCACAACAGTGCAATTAAAGACATGAAAGAGGACTTCCAGAATTGCTTCAGAAAGTGGCAAGAATGACGGGTTAAATGTGTTTGAAGTGATGGTATTTTGAGGGCAATTAGCAGCAATGTCCCTTTTACTGTAATTTTTTTTTAATTTAAACATTCACCTATTATTGTTTGATCACACCTCATAGATACCGGCTCCTTTGCGAGGCAGCCAGGTCCCCTTGTAATCAAATCCTTACCTGCCTACTCAACTTCACTTCCTCTCTACCTCAACCTATGCCCTTGGTTCCAGCAAGCCAGTCTCCCATCTTCCTTTATATGTGCCCAGGCTAAAATTGAGAGTAATACTCTAAACCAAAGGCTAGAATCAAATGAGTTATAGGTGAAAATAATAGTATTGACAAAAGTAGGTATTTAATAACTCTAAACCCCTATTATCAAGTAAAATAATGAAATTATACTCTAAGTCCTGTGGTGGTCATAATCTATTCATTACCTAAAACTCCACAAAATATTAAAATCACTCTTTTATTACTCAGAAGTCCCCAAAATACTAAAAATCACCCTTCAAACTGGAAGAAACTTTGAAGACCCATCAAACCCCACCTGCCCCCTTTTCTAGGCAGAGAAACTGGGGCCCAAGGGGCCCAAAGAGAAGGACTAGTACCAAGGCCAGATAATGGCAGAGCTGGGTCTGGAACCTACTGATGTTCTGCGCTGTTCTGCCAACAATGGGGCGTTTCTCCAAGACTGGTTTTCTGTGGGATTTTTGCCATCTATCTCTTTCCTTTATAGTCACATCTTACATGAGAGCATGTGTCCTCAAGAAGTTAGCACTCAGGCGTAGACACTTGATGCTAAGCTTATCAGATGTCATCGTTAGTCTTTTAACTCTGCCAACAACACCTTGTTCCCCTACTGCAGCATTATAGTCACCACTGTCCAGTACCTGTCTTCTGCACTGCACAAGAATTTCACAGAGACAGACTTCGACTTCAAGGTAGGAGCTCCTGAGATTGGTCACTATCTTGGTGATAACCCTAGAAAGCCAAAAACCAAACGCACTGCTCTTGTTTTTGTTTTACTTAAAACAACAACTTTATTTTGCTTATAATTTTTCAGGTCAGGGATTTGACCAGGACTCAGCTAGGTGTCAGCTAGGGGCTAGGGCAAGCTCACCGGGTTTTCCTTTATTAATATGTTGGTAGTATCAAACAGCTTCCAAGCTTGAGAGTGACTAGAATATCACCTAGAAGCCCCACTATGGGAGGTGTTGGGAGCCAGGCTTCCAAGAGTATGCTTTCTGGTCCAGAATCAACACTATTGGCTTCAGAAGAGTCAAGGGGGGGGGGGGGAAAGTCCTGTTTGCAAAGATATTTAAAAAGGGGAAAAAATTCAAGATCTTTAAGTTGTAAAATGAGTTCTGTGCCACATGTATATATTTAGAATCTCCTTGCAAAGCTAAGGACTCAGGCTGTCACATGTTTCCTCTTTCTCTGTCTCTCTAGGTGTGGAATTCTTATTTTAGCCTGGCAGTTCTGTTCATAAATCAGCCAAGCCTCCAGCTAGAAATCATCACTTCAGCCAAGAGGAAGAAGATTCTAGATAAGTAAGACATATGTCTGTTAGTCACCTCTTTGTCACATGCCCAGATGGGGTTATGTTTCCATGGGAGGCTCCTTCAGAAGTTCACAAGATTCCTATTGGGGTAGCTTCCCAAGGAGCCAAGGGTGAGAGTGCACTTGATTGGGAGCCAAATGACTCCGTATTTTGGGAATACGAAGAAATAGTGCTGAAGTCCTGGCCTCACTGGGTTTGTAGCCCTGTCTTCCTGAACCTTCTCCCACTAATAACTGGCTCCTGTGTTACTATTTCCAGGTATGGGGACATGCGTGTGATGATGGCTTATGAACTGTTCAGCATGTGGCAGAATTTAGGTAAGTTTTTTTTCCTTGGTTTTCCCTTCCACATATTGCATAGTCAAATAAAAAGTGACAAGACTAATAATTTCCCCCAGGTTTGAATGTTAATTCAGACCTAAGAAATTTTTATGTGTCTTTCTTTAACAAAACACCTCATATGGCAGGGAGAGTTAGGCGGAGAAATAAGACCCCAGTAATACATACTCACAGTCCCTCTTTTGAGAAGTAAAAGTCAAGAGGGGAAAAAGAAGATGAGGGCTCTAAAAGTTTTTTCCAGTTTGAGATCTCATACCTTTAAGATCCTCTGTGCTGCTGTGTTCCAGCCTAGACCCAGGCTCAGAAGCATGGATCTTGGAGATGCTCAGCACACGAGCAAGGGGAGCTGTGTATTTTAATGAAGGTTGAAATGCTTCCCGGGTCTCTGGTATTCAGGCGTGCAGACATTCCTGACACCAAGTGCATGAGGATTGCATGTAAGAAGGGAATTTCAGCCCTTAGGTTAGATTGGTTTCAGCTTCCTTTCTTTTGACAGCTTCTCTTTATAGCTTCTCTAATACCCAGTGCTATGGGTCTGAAATTGCGAGGGTTTGGGGTAGAATACTTGCATGGCCCTGGTGACTAGGTGGGCCATTCTTTGGTATTGTCGGCTTCTGAGTAGCCTGTCAGGGTGCTAGAGAAGCTGCTGTTATTCTTCCCAGTGAAGTCTGCTTTCAGTTACGCTCATGGCTCTGAAGCCTTAGGAATGATAGTCTTAAAATCTTACAGTCTTCCATTAACCATTCCAGTCACTAACCCTAGAGGCAGCAACGAGGTTCAGACATTCCTGCCAGCAAGCACGAGGGCCTTCTACCCAGGAGTGGGGATGCATTTCCCCAAGCAGGCTTTCCAGCTTCAGCACACTTAACTTCCTGCGTCTAGCACAGTTTGGGTATGGATTTTAACTCTGAAACTTCCAGGAACACAAGGGACTAGCAGTTGTACCAAACACCAAGATTGGAATATGCAGAATCATCCTCAGGGCTAACATTTGCTCCTTTGATAGGCTTTCAAAATGGAAGAAATAAAATAAGATGCCAAATTTGCTTGATTAAGCCAATCCTGTCCCATTGTATTTTGTGGAAATGGCATTTTCAGGGCCTCAAGAACTGATTTTACTTGGCTATAGCAATCATTGCACAGGCCCACAGTTTTCTCCTTCTTAGTCTCTGAAGGATTAAAAGCAGAGCTCTGGCAGATGGCCCACTCTGTTTCACCATTGCAAGGAAAAATTCTGTCCCGCGGTCCTCAGGACTGGCCCTGGCTCCTGGGAACATGCCCCAGATGAGGCCAGTCACGGGGAGACCTGTATTAACCACTTACCATGGGAAAACCTCAGTAAGGAAGTCGAGGAGTGGGCTGAGCTGGTCTGAGTAGATGTAGTTCTACCATCATAAATGCAATGTGAAGGTAAGGGGCTAGAGGCTGGGGGCACAGAGAGTCTCAGAGCCAGTCTGGGGGAGTAGTGCAGGGCTGTGCAGGAGGCTCCTGCTAACTCAGTAGGGGGCCTCATATGCATACATGAGCCAGCATCGCAGGTGGTGAAGAAGCCCCTGGACTTAAGACCATTGGAGGCAGGACCCGGGACTAAACATCCTCATCACTTAAATGCCTCTGGACTAGAGTTAGAAACCCCAGGGAGAGTACACTGTGTTTAAATGGCTTTTCCTTGCTAAATAACTCTTGTGAACAGACTATCTGAAGCCATCACAGGTCACTCAGAAATCCTATTCTGTCTACAGTAGTGAACTCTGTTCATCGACCTCAATGATTTTCAGGTAGTTTGTGGAACCTCCCAGTAAATTCTTTTAAATGGCAGCTTGTGCCTGTTGAACATTTGTTTTAACTGGGTTGGGTCAGTTTTATCCATGAACACTAAAAATGCCAGGAGAGGGAGTATCTCAGAAAGCCATCGGGGAGAGCTTGCTTTGTTCCCAGATGCTTCCAGTGCAGATTGAAGCATGTGCTGTGGCCACACTTGGGAAGCTTTCCTGGAAGGAGCAAAGAAGCATAAACTAATATCTGTTGGGTTTTGTCATTCAGGTGAACATAAGATCCACTTTATTCCGGGAATGATTGGTCCTTTTCTGGGTGTGACACTGGTCCCTCAGCCAGAAGTGCGGAATATCATGATTCCCATCTTTCATGACATGATGGACTGGGAGCAGAGGAAAAATGGCAACTTCAAACAGGTAAGACAATACCTGGCAGTGTTCAGGGTGCCCTCCTCTGGAATTAACCCTTCCTTCCCAGGAAGGTGACCCTGATGGCCAGGCTAAGGTTCCAGTGGGAATGAGCTGTAGCTTGGCCATCTTGAATCCTGTTCAAGGGTTTTCCCTTACTTGCTAACCAGAATTAATTGGTAGATTTTCTTCATGATGTTAGAGGCCAGAAAAGAACCAGAGGAAAGGAATGAATATCAAGCGAAAGGATCTTCACAATCAAGGGTCTCTAAGACTGTAACCTCCCGGATCCTTCCTGTCGCGATGTTGGGAGCCTGCAAGCTCAGCTCCTCTGGGAGTCACTTTTTAGGAATGCTTAGGTCTGGGTATCGGGCCTCACAGGCTGGCTGGCCTCGCTTAACTTCCTCGGCGGAGAATCAGCTCAGTTGGACTCTACAAATTAAACCATGGGTTTTTCGAGAATACAGAATCACGTGGTCCAGATCCTATGGAATGACTTTTGCCTGCTTAAATACAATGAAAACTTACAGGTACCCTTGGACAAGACTGTACAGCACTTCTCAAACTACTGTAGACAGCAGTGAGGTGAAAATCTTCCTGGCCCTGGCTCACAGGTGGTGGGATGAACAAGGAGTATATGCACCTCTTCATTCTATGAATGACCTTAGGGTGCCATTTATTAGAGACAATCTTTTAAAAACAGTTGCTAATCACCAGCCAGGAAAACCTTTGTCTGGGATGAAGATTCTTGATGTTGGCTGTGGTGGTGGATTGTTAACTGAACCTCTAGGGCGGCTTGGGGCTTCAGTTCTTGGAATTGACCCTATGGATGAAAACATTAAAACAGCGCAGCGCCCTAAATCATTTGATCCAGTCCTGGATAGGAGGATAGAGTACAGAGCGTGTTCCCTGGAAGAGATTGTGGGAGAGGCTGCAGAAACATTTGATGGTGTCATCGCTTCCGAAGTTGTAGAACATGTGATTGATCTAGAAACATTCATACAGTGCTGCTGTCAAGTGTTAAAACCCGGTGGTTCTTTATTCATTACTACAATCAACAAAACTCAGCTGTCCTATGCCTTGGGAATTGTTTTTGCAGAGCAAGCTGCAGGTATTGTACCAAAAGGTACTCATACCTAGGAGAAATTTGTTTCACCCGAAAACTTACAGAGCATTCTGGAATCAAATGGTCTATCAGTTCAAAGTGTGGTAGGAATGCTCTACAACCCCTTCTCAGGTTACTGGCATTGGATTGAAAATACCAGCCTTAACTACGCAGCTCATGCTGTGAAGCGCCAAGACCCAGAGCCTGCCGAGCTTGTTTTAAAGGAGGAAGGAGAAGAGCTCGGAGCCAGAGCCTCCACCAACCCAGATGTGCACGAAGAGCCCAAGGAATGAATGGTTTCTGAGGACTGGAGTAATACGGTGGGAAAGTACGATCTTTATAAATACAAAAAATATACAGTTTATCATTTGAGATATACAGGATCATACAGAAAAGAAAGTCAATAAAAGGGTTAAAACCTTGAAAAAAAAAAAGACTGTAACCTCCCAGCTTCATTCATTCAGAGAGGGCCCTGGGAGCATGTTCCTCCTCTCTGGAGGATCCCCAAGGTATATGGTCCAGGCATTTCTAGGGCTAGAGACCAGACCAGGTGACTTCTCGTGTTTCAGGTAGCCCAGAATTTCACATACTCCTACAGAGAGGGGCAGGTCCAGGAGGCGTAAGCCCTTGGCTTCTAACTGAGTGGCTTCCAGCTATCCCTCTGTGCCCCTCTTCTGCCACACCTAAGGTGGAGGACATGGCCCCTGCCTATAGCTCTATATCCAGGGACTAGAACTAGGACCAATAGGTGTCAGTGGAAGGGAAGATGATTTTCGCTAATATAAAAAAGAACTTGCTAGCAGCAAGAATTGTCCACTGTGAGCTGGCCTGCTTTGGGAGATGGGGAGTTCCTCTTTACTGGTGGTTGTCAAGCAGAAGTTCCCAGGAGGCCTCCAGGGGAAATTTCTGTAGTGTCTTGGGGACTGTACCAGTTTCTCATTAAGCTCCCTGTCAACTCTGATTCTGGGATGAACCAGTGGTCTTAGAGTGAGTGACTGTAACAGTGAGGAGCAGACCAGGCAAAAAGTAATTTTCACATTTTTATTTATTTTTAAATTTACAAAGAGTAAAATTCATTTTGTGATTTACAGTTCTATACGTTTTGGCAAACACGTAAAGTCATATAACCACTACCACAATCAATATTTGTTTAATTGCTAAAAATTCCATCTTGCTGCCCCTTTGTAGTCATACCCTTCGCCTGCCTTTAACCTGTGGCAACCATTCACCTAGTCTCCATCACTATTCCAGATGTTATGTCAGTAGAATCATGTGGACTATATAGCCTTTGAGACTGGCTTCTTTCACTTAGCATGATGCCTTGACAGATTCATCCATGCATCTGTGTATCTATTAGTTTTTCTATTGCTGAATAGTATTCCATTGCAGTTTATTCACTCACCATTTCAAAGACATTTGGGTTATTTCCACTTCTTTTTTAATATATATATATATATTTTTTATTATGAAATACACATTTTTTAGAATTAGTTTCAGCTGTACAACACAGTGCAGTAGTTATACTTTTTACCCCTCGAAGTGACAACCCCCCTCCCCCAATCTGCCCCACTTCCCCCCAATATCATACATATCTATTACAAATCC